ATTTGTAAAATATTGAGTGAATTTGATAGAATGGCGGACAAAACGCAGTTCTTACATGTTTTTCGTGCACCAGTGGCTTCAAATTCAAATTTGATATGTATTCGTCTAAAATACTCACAAATTATGAACAAAAACTTTCTGAACAACGCTCTTACGATCAATAACCCTCAGATTTTACAAAAAATGATGCCCTCTTTTACTTGAAATCAAAGAAATGGCGAAATCCTAAAACGTTTTTAGGGTTCTTCACAGATCCAAATTTTTTTGATCAAAATCGGTAATTTTTACTACCTTATATTGACTGAAATGACTAAAAAATTTAAAATAAAGCCTAGATGATTCATTTATAAAGATGCATAATGATAAGAAAATGACAAAAAACAATGAAAATAGTGAAGAACACTATGCAGCCCGTGTTCTTGGATGAGTCTCAACAGTGACTCGGTGATTCACTATTGGGAATCACTCGATTCTCTCTAGACACGGGCGATTCCCGGTATTGTAGTGGAACCGGCACGGGGTCTGCCGATTCCTGAGTCGAATCGGGCGAGTTCGGTTCGACTCGCCGAGTTTTCAGACCCTGTATGAGACTATCCTCCTCTATTATGTTGAAGCAACTACAGGAAGAGAATGCCGATGTGCAACACGTAAATTGTATAAGGTTATATATATATATATATATATATATGAGACACAAACTTCTCTCTTGGGGACATGTTTTTTGCATACTATTTCCAAGCCCTTTACTCTGTTGTGCTAACTTTCTGTCTCTGTAATAAAGGTAACTTTGGTACCTTCGTGCATTTGTTCATATAAAATGCACAAATAGTCACAACCATCATGGGCATTGATTCAAGGGTGCAGTTGGCATATGGATGCATCCGTAGCTGTAGAGGTAAGGTGCACCTTCAAGTTTTATCATGGTATATAATTTTGATGTAAAATGTGTGAAGAGTCTTAGATTTCTCTTAAGAGACTCCTTGTGTCCATTAATCATATGAATATACAGATTTGTCTTTTATAGACAAATTACAAATGACAATAATATAAACTAAATCATACCTAAACTTTTAATAAAGTACAGATGTTCTATCAACCGTTCCCATAAATATTGATTGCAATATATACTTTCTATATTAACCCGATATACAATATACATTTTTCTTTCACAAAATGTTCTTAAGATTATCTCAAAATCTATTTTTATATCTAATTATAAAATTTTAAACTTCAGAAAGGGTTAAAATTAAGTAGATCTATAAACATATGAAAATATTGAAAATAGACGGTGTAGATAATATGTTGTAAAATACACTATTTCTGAGACTTAAAATCTTTTTATTCTTTATGGTCATACATCTCGATGTCGAGATGATCAATCAAAGGGTTTTTCAACATTAAACTACCTTTTCCGATGGATTTTTGAGGTGCATCCATAGTTCTACATGTTAAGGTTGCAACCTTATATAAACTTTTTCCCTGATTCAAGGATATTGAGTATCCCCATTGGGTCAAGTTGAAATGATATGTTCTCTCTCTATATATTTATATATTGGAGACAAGAACTTCGCTTTTTGGACATGGTTTTTGCATACTACTTTCAGACCTCTACTTTCGTGTGCTTTTTTTTTTATCGACAGAAAGCAACTCTGGTGCTCTAGATCTTGTTGTAATCATATATGCGTACAGACAAAATTGTGATCAATCTTCTATTTTCATGTATCTAGAGTATAAATTTTCCCAGAAAATATAAATGCACATTGATTTTCATTAATAAGGGCCAAAATTATCTTTTGATAGCAAAGTTTTTGTGCTTGGAAATACGAATATTTTTGGTTCTATTACACCTTGAAAAGTTTTGAGAAACTATCATTTTCTACATGTTTCACCCACCAATTTCCAATAAAACCCATGGAAATTCTATGGATCAAAGTCTTGAGAGATGTTTCACAATCCAGAAAAGTGAGAAATTTTTTCCAATTTTCTCTGCTTTCTCTAGTACTGTAGCTGTCTCCCATTTGATTGGGGCAGAAGCCACATTCAAATGGAAAACTTTGGCACATGGTGTGAAAGGAAAGTGTATATTGTGTATTGGGTTAATATAGAAAGTATATATTGCAATCAGTATTTATAGGAAAGGTTGATAGAGTATATATACTTTATTATAATATTAGATATGGTGTAGGTATCTATTATTTTATTTCTATTTTTGTCATTTGTAATTTGTTTATAAAAGACAAATATGTATATTCATATCAATTAATGGACGCCGAGTCTCTTTAGAGCAAAACTGAGAGCCAGATTCATCTTAGTTGTATCCATTAATCGTCCCTAAAGTATTGTCGCCAATTTCAAGACAAGTCTGTTGCTCACCAAGTCGGTGCAACTTCTGTTGAGTCATATTTCGACTCTCTGATCTATCCTCTCTGCTGAGTCGTATTTCGACTCTCTAATATGTCCTCTCTATCGAGTCGTGTTTCGAATATCTGATTTGTCTCGTTGTTGAGTCGTGTTTCAACTATCCAATCTGTCTCTATGTTGAATCGTGTTTCAACTCTTTGATTTGTTTGATCTTTTCCAAGAGTTCATGAAGCCATTTGTTCTCAAGGCTTGTTGATTCGCCACTGCTTTTGGTGCTTATTGATCAAGCAATCTGAGTATAAACCTGAAGATCCAACTACTCGTTTCTGCAATTAGTATTCAAACTCCACCTGCTCTCTCTCGCATCTTGAATTTGAGGGTGAGTGTGAAAGAAAAGTGTATATTGTGTATCGTGTTAAAATAGAAAGTATATATTACAATATATACTTTCTATTTTAACCCGATACACAATATACACTTTCCTTTCAGGCATGGAAGCAAGGAAAACAAACATATGATCAAAGTCATTAGAATTGCTTGATAATTGGAAATGAAAATTTTTTCTAGTTTTTACATCTTTTCTTGACATTATAATTCAATGGGAATTTCGGTATGCAGGGAAATCCGCAACCCACATCCATGTGGGTGCAGTTTCACAATAAAATTAAGGGACTTTAGCCTCACAACCATGCACCTAATAAAAAAAAAGAAAATTGTCAAATGCTTTATTTCCAAGTTCTACCCAACCTTTAGGTAGATTCGAGGGTGAGCCCCTCTCATTGACTCTTCCCTTAGTGCCTCTCTTTTTATTTTTTTGAGCCTACCCATCTCTCTCTCTCTCTTTCTCTCTCAATCTTTCTCTATTCTAAAGCTTTTTTTCTTTTTTTCTTTTGGGTAATTTAGTGGAAAAGACAAGCCCCTATTTGATTTTTAAATGATTTAGGAGTTAATTTTTTGAAGATGTTAGTGGGGTGGTGTTATTGGGAATGGAATAAATTTTTCTAATAATTTAGGAGTTAGTTTTTTGAAGGTGTTAGTGGGGTGGTGTAAGTGGGAATGGAAAACCACGACCTTGACCCCTTTCCCGTTTCTATTCTAAAGCTTTATTCTTGATTATTAGAGCTTACTTCCTTTTTCAAGAGATTTTTTTTTGAGGGGTGTAATTCAGTGGGGAAGACAGGTCCCTACCGTTTTTTCATAGAGATTAAAAAGTTAGATTTTTTGAAGGTGTTAGTGGGTGGTATAAAAAGTATTGGAAACCACATCGTGGCAACTGCGTATGGGGGTGCTCCCTCTTCCAGATCTTTCTATCCAAAACATGGATTTCATCCCTAAACGAATGCTCGAAATGGATGCTTACTCCGAGAATTATTCTACGACATCCAATTATGAAATTGACAATCAGATGGAACTTTATAAGAGCTCAACATATACATATAAATTTTTTTAAATGCACAAGTATAACCAATAATAATTTATGGACTTTGCATTAGAACAAATCCGGTAGCTAGATGTTTAAAGCATGGAAGAAGTGTATGGTGTGTGTTACCACTTTATTTACTCTACAAAGTGAAAATGCCTCAACCCCATATATCCCCACAAACCCCCTTTTGGCAGCTTCTTCTACACATAGATGCCTTTCCTTCCAAGAGAATAAAATTTTTTAAGTCATCTTGATATCAAATCCTAGCCTTTGTGAGTCACATCAATTTGTACGATGGGCAATGTAATCCGCCAAGCCTAGGAGAGGGGCGGCCTTGGCCGGGTCGAATCCGGCCAAGCCCTCCTTGGCCTTGTTAAGGAGATCCTCTGCAAAGTCCCTAGCTTGGCTGAGCCCCATCAATTTAGGGTATGTGGCCTTGTCGCTCACCATGTCCTTGCCAGCCGTCTTTCCAAGCTCCTCTGTGGATGCAGTCACATCTAATATGTCATCGACCACTTGGAACAACAATCCGATGTGGCGTGCATACGTGCGGAGCTTTTCAACATCCTCATCAGAGCCACCTCCCAGCATTGCCCCACACACCACCGAACACTCCAGCAAGACCGCAGTCTTATGGACATGGATGTATTCTAAAACCTCCAAGTCCACCTTAGGATCACCTTCGCTCGCGATGTCTATGATTTGCCCGGCAACAAGTCCCTCTGCACCGACTGCTTTTCCCAGCTCGACGATTGCCCCCAAAATCCTATTGGAGCCGACATGTGTTGGTGTGTGAGCGGCTAAATGCTCGAATGCAAGTGATAGAAGAGCGTCACCTGCCAGTACGGCCATGCCCTCACCAAAGACCTTGTGGTTGGTAGGTCGCCCCCGGCGGAGGTCGTCGTTGTCCATGCATGGGAGGTCGTCATGGATGAGGGACATGGTGTGTACCATCTCAACAGCGCACGCTGCAGCCATCACATCCCCCTCGTGCCCGCCCACAAGTTCACATGCTGCCAGGCACAGCATGGGGCGCACGCGCTTCCCACTCGCCAACAACGAGTAGCGCATTGACTCATTGATCTGCTCTGGATGACACAGAGGAACCGCCACATCGAGCGCGCGGTTCACACGATCCGCCTTGACCTTCATGTATGCCTCAAAGTCAAACTCCGACATAGGTTCGACCTGAGAAGGCAAGTCGAGCCTAGTCAGCCTAGCAACCGGGCTAGTGGGATCGGCTAGGGCAGAGTACTTCACCCAAATGCTAGTCCTCATGCTGGGGACCTTCACAATCCCCAGAATGGGTTGATTGCATATGCTTCTTCTCCTTGATGCATGAATTGAGTGGTTTAGGGTTTGTTGGGGGCTAGAGATTGATATGGAGGCCATGAATTGAGAAGACGGTGGTGCAGTCTTCCTTTTTTTTTCTCTTTTCTTTGATGTTGAATAGAGATGGAAAGAGGTGGATATATGAAAGAGAAAGAGAGGCACAAAAGACAAAAAGGGCTTAAGATTCTTTCTCAACTCGTATTCTACGTGGGAACAAGGATCGCGTTATTCCAACCGCTGTCATTTTGGATCATCTTCGATACGAACCAAGTCACAAAAATTAGGAAAATATGAATCACGGGGCGGCCTTCCACAAATGTCATGATTCGTTCTTTAATCCGTATAACCTTTGTACCCTCTTTGATTAGAAGGGGGAGAGAGGGGTTTACGTTTTTCAAGAAAAAATGTTTTATTTGGGTTGGATCGCATTTCTATATATATAGTTTAAAAGGTGTAAAACATCGATTTTAAAGATAGATTCAAGTAGGTGTTCCATCTAAAAACAATAGAAACTATATGTCCTAATGTTTTTTTTATTAATATTATTATTTTTAATTTTTAAAATTTATTTATTTTTTTATATTCATGATTTCCATGTTAGAAATTACATGTCCTTAAAAACTAAGTCCTAAAATCCATCTCAAAAATAAATTTATTAAAAGACCAGCATTTCGGGCTTAGCCACATAGAAACCGAATCTGTAATTGAATTTTGTCTAATAGAGAGTGAGAGGTTTAATTGGATTTTGTCTAATAGAGGGGGGAAGGTTTATTTGGTTTTTGAAGAACCTACCCTGCTCGATAGACAAAGAAGAGACTGCTCAATTTGGCAACCAAGAGAGAGAGAAAGGGATTTAATTGGATTTTGAAGAACCTTTGTCCCGTGCTCGATTAGAAAAAGAGAGAGGGAGAGAGGTTTAATTGGATTCCAAAGAGGAAAAAGTTTATACAGGTCGAGGCCCTAAACAGTTAAATTTTAAAACATTTAGTTTTGACTTTTTCCTGTAAAATTGTAGGCTTCTGATGAGGAGAAATATGATTTAGTTCGTGAGGGTGTTGTTATTTTCACAGGAGCACTTGCAAAACATTTATCAAGGGTTTGTACTGACTAAAGCAATTTACAGTCCTTCGCTCTGAAATAAATTTTTAGATATCTAAGGCTAGCTGAAATTCCTAATTTGCATTACAGGATGACCCTAAAGTCCATACTGTGGTTGAGAAGTTGTTAGAAGTATTAAACACTCCATCTGAGGCTGTCCAACGGGCTGTTTCAGACTGTCTGTCACCATTGATGCCTTCAAAACAGGTCAGTTGTTCTCATGTTAGGCTATTAGAGGCAATATTGTGTTTTTATTCTTTTACAGGAGATTTACACTGTACTATTCTCATTATTATTGTCGTTGTTAGTAGTATTGTTGTTATTGTTATTGTTATTATTAGTAGTGGTGGTGGTGGAGGTAGTAGTGGTTTTAGCAGCAGCAGTACATAATTCTAATCATGTGGTGCATCTTCTGTAGTTTGTGACATTATTATTATTATTATTGTTATTATTATTTGGTGCATCCTCTGTAGTTTGTGACATTAGTATTGTTGTTGTTGGATTTGACCTTTTGCATCATGTATATTTTTTCACTTGGTTACAATTCGGTTGCTACTTCTTCATTTTAGTGTTTGCTGTCCTGGAGTCATGAATCTTCAAGGCAAATGCTAAATGTTATGTCCTTACAAATCAAATAGGGAAACCTTTGCTGTCCTGGAGTCATGAATCTTCAAGGCAAATGCTAAATGTTATGTCCAATGGTTTAAAAAACGGATCGGTGACTCGGATCGGGCTTCCAAAAAACCGATCTTG